CAAATCACAAATTAATTAATTAATCTGAACTGAACATATGCTAGAAGCACACTGGCTATGATTCTAAGATTAAAACACTAATTGGACTTCCTAGGCAGGCCTGCAGGCGTGATTAGGATTTTGTTCATATACTAATTAACCATCAAAATCTCACCCCAAACTGCTTGCAAATAACTAGCTAGACACGTATAATTAAGTATATGATTAATCCTCAAGTCCTTGTCTTCCTTAATTTACAAACCTCTCAGCATTGTGCTAATTGGATTGGAATATCACGTACAGAAAACGATGGAGCTAGGATTAACAAAAGTCATATACTAGTCTCTAGCCGATTAATTTAATTAGAATGGCCACTAATCCGTTTCTAGAAAATGAGACCTGCTTTAGGTAGGTCTGCAATATTTAGCCTCTCATAGGCAGCTTACTATTTTCAAATCTTTGTGTGCATGAATACTGCAATCAAATTTACTCACGCAATCGTATGCAGTTCATTTTCTACTCATAGAGCTAAAAAAATGAATACCTTTTAGGATAGAGTAAATCAGTTGAGGACGACCCTTTTCGATTAAAAAATCGGGTGTGCAACGACGTTATTTTGACATTGTTCGAAATGAATTAATAACACGTTGCTTCATTCTTTTATTGATATTATAGAATTATTGATGGCATGTCGACACTTCTTCAATGATAAATAATTAACGTATGTTTCATAGTTGAACTATAGAGTAATAATCAAGTATAAACCCCAGCTATTGTTCCCCACAAAAATCTGTAGAAGTTAACCATTGCCAGACTATCACTGTATTAGTACTAAGTCTTCGCACATATATTAAATATCGCTTGTATAAAAAACGAAGAACATGTACGTAATATAATCCGAACAACTTGATTTTATTTTGTATTCTAACACATCAAAATAAAGTTTTCTTGCGCGACAAGCGTTAATACGAACCGGGCAATTTGGGTGCACTTGGGACATGAAATTGGAAAGTTCTACAAAATCCACAGGACTCCTTTAATTAACCAAACTCAGAAACTATGTATGTTTACAAGTTTCATGTGGTCCACTTGAATTATTCAATGGCTAACCCTAAGCTGTAGCCATGACATTACACTGGCTGCATGGAGAGAATCCCCACGAAGAGCGGGTGCGACAGACTCAAATCAACACCAAAACCCAAGAAAAAGAATCTTAAGATCGTATGGTAGGAAAGAAATTTAAAGAGGTAAAAAGGCCTTAGATTTCGGACTTTGTCATCCGTGGATGGGACATCTACAATTCACAGCTATAAGATTTGGAACTAAAGATTTCAAGAAGAAGCTCCTCCGTGGAGCGTTCCCTGTAGTTGTATGATTTGCTTCCTTGGCTCCCCAAAAGTACCAAGATTTCATCTGGGATGTGTCACATCTACTATATATATGCATTTATTTCAAAACGAACATTGTATGGAGCCTCCTAAGACAGAACATACATCTCCATATCACTCATCATGAAACACTGTATCAATTGCGGTTTAACAAAGTATATTTATGTCTCTATCACTCATCGAATATGCAGTTTAACAAGGTTTATTTAGGTCTCGATCACTCATCAAACAAGGGTTTATATATATATATATATATATATATATAAGAAGCTAAAATGCTCTACAAGAGAAGCGACTTTTCTCAAATTTCTTTATTAAGACATCGTATGCATTTTAAAGAGACAAAATTAAATTGATCAACTTAGCTTGGTTCGTGTTTGACCAGTTTTTGTCTACTCTATTTTTTTAACATCAATTTAGTTTGGTTTTCAATTCATTGAATATTTTTTGTCTACTTTTAATCTTTATACCACTCATCACGCAACTAGTGATATGGAGATGAGGGTTACACATCCAAGCATAGATTGGAGTTACTCATCTCTCTCTTTTTATTTTATTTTAATTTTTTTATTTTTAAAAATAATGATAGGTAGGAATAGGATGATGAACAAGAACAAAGAGGGAAATGATAGTACAATAATAAAATGGCGAGACAAGGGGGCATCACATGACTGTCACACAAGACATATTTATTTGTACTATATCTGTCTCTTCCCTCCCTAGTACCGTGCAGAACAGATATATTTCGTTGAAACCCCAACCATTTATTGTAGGGAGTTTTAACGAAAAGCTCCCGGTGCTGTTTATTTTAATAAAAAACTATATTTTTACACTAAAAAATCAAACTTGGTACTATTTACTTTACTCTTTATTTTGTCCTTATCGTTAAAACTCAAAATTTTCAAACCATTTTTATTAATTTTCCTTTTATTGTATTCAGACCCAAAATATGTATTATATATATGACTAGAAAACATGTACTGAGTAGTGAGACCCACAGCTTAAATTTCGGATCAAACTGCTAGGCCACTACATTCGAAAGTTTAGTATATATCTTAATAACATTTTTTTTTTGTATTTATCAAAAAAGTGTAGATGACTAAACAATTACAAATTTAAAAGCTGATCTTTAAAATGCGATGTATAGATAAACGATTTTGATCATTATGTACATTACAGGACGAGAAAAAAGGATAAAAATGTAGAAAGAGAATGCGATCATTCTTCAACAAAAACTCAGATGCTGAAGAGCAACTAAGGCTTATGTTAGGCCTAGCTTTAGGAGTAGAAATTAAATTTGCAATAGTGGACAGAACTGGACCTCCCCCAATGGGCCAATTCAGCTTATAGCTTTGCCCTTTGAATGCTATCATTCTTTTTCCTGTGAATATGTCTAGCAACAGTATTACTGCTGCTGGGTATTCTTGCCGATTCCAGATGCGTGCTCGTGCATTAAAGAACAAACACGCGAAGGAATTTAAACACAATAGAACTACCATCAGTAGCCCTTGGAATCCCTTAACCCAGCTGACATGGTTTGCTTCCGGAGCAATCATTTGATGCTTCCAACAGCAGGAACCTTGCTAAACCGAAGTCACCAACATTGGATATTAATATCTTCGTTAAGTAAAAAATTGTTTCGATTTAGATCACAATGAATAAACGACGTTTAAGCGATAATCTAATGCAGAAACAACATCAATTGCAATATGGAGTCTTTGAGTAAGGCTACATCTTTTACTTTAACATTGAACTGAAGCCAATGCAGGAAGCTCATGTTGGTTGATTAAGGTCTAAAGTGTCATTTTCTTTATTTTATCAAGCTGTTAGTCTTTGTGAAAATAAGTTGCTAGGAATCAATGGTTGAGATTAGCTCTAAATGTGCTAGGCTCAGATGTGAGCAAGTGGCAGGATCTCATAGGGTCTTGTGAATGAATGAAAAGGCACACGCAGAAGAGCACATTGGCTCTCTCTGAGATTTTGATCACAATCCTTCTATCTCATCATTTTCCTTCTCTCTAAGTTCTTCCTTCTCTGATTTGAATTGCTGCAATACTGCTGAACTTTTACAGATTCTAACAGCTAAAACATCTAGTCTTTCCTAGCCATATTAATGATTTTCTTAAATCTTTGCAATTGTTTCCATCTCTTTTTATGTGCTTTTCTGCAACTACATATGAGCGTCTAATTCCATTCACTTTGTTGACAACAACGTCCACAAGCATTCACTGTCCTCGGGATATTTCCGAGCATGAGAGTCCTATCTGCATCACTGAAACCAAACATTCCTCCAATCTTTTCCCCTGGACTGGGCTGTGACCCTGATATCTTGTTATTGGTCTTCCTCATGTGTCATTGCGGTATCTGTCATCATAATCTGTATCGCCCCCTTCATAGAGCAATGCAGGATCAGCTATGTCCACAACATGGTCAGACATCGTCCTGGCTGTGAATTTGTGAATGCTTATACCATCTCCAAACGCGGAATGGTCTTTTTTCCTATGAACTTTTCTAGCTAGCAACAGTATTCCAACGATATAAACATCTCCTAGTACCGAGATTTGGCCTACCATGCCAAACTCTGGCATTCAATACTCACATTATGATGTCACAATCAAATATTTTGAATGCTTCTTTTTAAGGGAAAAGAGGAGTTATCTTTTTTTCTGTTTTCCATTTTACCATTAGAGACATAAGTTGGCTACTAATAAGCTATTAGGAAGGAAAAATGAGAATCCTAGAAAATCATACGTGGAGGAATGTAGTCTACAAAACCCTTAGCCCGGTTGACATGGTTTGACTTTGGGAGGGACTATCTAATGCTTCCAAATTGTGCTGATGACTGTTTTATTCTTGTCATTCAACAAGCTGGAGATGTTCTTGCTTCGACAAGAGACTGCAAATCCCCGATGTTAACGAGCACGAGCCTAATTGCTTGCTCAGTGGAATAAAAAAGAGGGAGAAGGGCTATCAGCCATGTTCAAAATGAATTGCTGTTTCCAAAATCTAAATTTTTTGAGAAATTATGAGGTTGTTTGCGTAGAAATCGAATATATAGATTTTTGTAATGAGACTACATCTAAGTTCTTGTGGTCTACTGCAATATTTCTGTGTATAAAAGTGATCATGTACAAGTCATTCGTTTCAAATTTACATCCTAGTAATGCTAGAGCAAGTGCACTGCTCCCTAAGTCACCTCTTACTAACTTTGAAGACAAGGAATTGACTGTATAAACATATGACAAACTCTGAGGAGTTCAGATAGACTATATTGAAAGTTAGATGAAGAAATATTATTTAGGATATATCAAGCAAATAAAAATAGACTGAAATAGTGCAGGATTACAACAGTCCCTTCTGCTGCAATTAGGATTATGTCATATATCGTTGTTGGATTGAAACAGAAACTAATACAAAAATGTAAATATTTCAGCCATAGAACATCAAAAGTAATTTCAGCAGAAAAAGTTAATAATAAATTTTTCTGATCAAAGTGCAAGCTAGCTCTTTAGTTGGATACTTTTACTACTCCTCAATTCCAAAAGTAAAAGTATGATCAGTATGATGACGAAGAGAGAACGACAGTAAAAAAAAGGCGAGACAAGGGGCATCACATGACTTTCACACAGATTATACTCGACCTGGCTCTACTCTAGCAGTAATACGATACAAAACAGAGAAATCGTTAACAGAACAAAACAATTTTCCCTTATTCTGAATATAATTATACAATGCTGAGATCAACTTTACATATTGTCATACACATTGGTACATGAACATTATAAGAGCCGAGAGTGAGACCAAGGAAACAAACTTAGCCCAATATTGTATACTGCTAGCTTCATCTTCGTAAATTCATAAATGAGTCTCTAATTGCCTTCATTTTGTTGACAACAACATCCATATGCAGCCGCTCTCCAGTGGATATTGCAGAGCACGCGAGTCCTATCTGCATCACTGAAACCAAACATTCATCCAATTTTCCTCCTTGGACTAGGCCGCGGTCATGACGATTTGTAGTAGGGTTTCTTGTACCTCATTTTCGTATCTGTCATCATTAGCATCTGCATCTTCTCCTTCAATCAGCAATGAAGGGTCTACTATATCCATGGCATGATCAGGAATTGCCATGGCTGTGAAATTGTGAATACTTAAACCATCTCCAAGCATTCCATCTGTAGGTCTTTTTCCAGTGAACATTTCTAGCAACAATATTCCAAAGCTATAAACATCTCCTAGAATGGATACTTCGCCTCCCATGCCATACTCTGTCATTCAATACTCACATTAGGATATCATAGTCAAATTGTTATGAATCCAAATCTTATTTAAGAGTTCGCTGATGCTTTTTGCCAAAGAAAAGAGGTCTTTTTCTATTTTCTTTCATACACATAGAGACTTAAGTTAGCTACTAACAAGTTATTAGGAGAAAAAAAAATATTGAGAATCACAAAAACGCATACCTGGAGGAATGTAGCCAATGGAACCCTTTAGCCCAGCTGACATGGTTTGACTTTGAGAGAGATTATCAGTAGCTTCCAAGAGGAACCTTGCTAGACCAAAGTCACCAATATGAGCCACCATATCTTCATCCAGAAGAACATTGCTTGGCTTTAGGTCACAATGAACAATCGACGTTTCACAATGGTGGTGGAGATATTCTAAAGCTGAACCAATATCAATTGCTATATTGAGTCTTTGTACAAGGCTCAATCTCTTCCTCTGAGACTGCTCATCATCTGTTGGATGCAGCCACACATCTAGACTTCCATTTACACTGTACTCAAATACTAAACTTTTGAAGTCATTGCCCTGATTGTCAATGCTTGAACAAGCAGTTATGATCTTGAGAAGATTACGGTGCCTTACACTTCTTAGAGCTTCACATTCACGAATGAAACTATTGGAAGCTCCTTGTTGTTGAAGGTTTAATACCTTAACTGCAACTACAATTCCATCACTAGGGAGCACTCCTTTGTATACGGAACCAAAACTTCCTGAACCAATTATATTTTCTCTAGAGAACCCGTTAGTTGATTCAACAAGTTCTTTGTAAGAGAACGTGAGCTTACAGGTGTACCTCTTGGCTTATTAGGCATTGAACGAGTAACAATGAAGCATGCCAGAGCAATTATGGATGCAAGTGCACAAGCTGCAGGGATTACTACTTTCGGGACAAGTAGTCTTCTAGATGAATGAGCATTTATGTTGGAGCAGGGAGTTAGACTTAATAGTGGGATGCCACCACAAAGCCTACCATTTCCGGGAATTGAGAGACCACTTGCATTTAGAAAGATCCCTTCTTTAGGCAATTCACCCTGGAAATTATTGTTAGCAACATTGAGGTTCTTGAGAAAACTTAACTTGCCCATAAATTCAGGAATCTGCCCAGAAAAATTATCACTTGAAATATCCATCTCTTCCAAGCTGCTTAAACTTCTAAGAGATTGAGGAATTGTTCCTTCAAATTTGTGTTGGATTTATCCAATATAAATCAACCTTAAGTGGTCTACTACATGTAATAGGAATGTAATATTGGAGAATAATGTTAATTGTGATTTAATCTCTTAAAGATATTAATTCTATATAAGGTGTCTTATATTGGAAATAGGATTGATGGAATCCTTAATAATATATGATTATGATATTTTACTTGAGAGCCAAGAAAGGAGAGTTTTAGTTTTCCCTTATGGACGGAATCTAAGACTTTTTGGCTAGTATATAAACACCGGTCCCTGCTAACCCTAGACACGACAACTAAGGCTTCCCATAGAGCATTGTCATAAAGCTAGGAGTTTACAGAAGAGTTGGTGTTTTCTGTTTGTCACGGCAAACATAAAGATTGGAGTTTTATCGATCACGTCTTGCTTGCATGGCTACTGCATCTTCGGTAACTACCATTGGAATCAGGTCAGTCACTCCTTCGGTTGTGTTTTAATTGTATAACCAATAAGGCTAACAATTGGTATCAGAGCCACTGGTTATATGATTAAAATCTATTAGGGTTTAATATTGGATTATATAATATTATGTGTTTAATCCAAGTTATTACATACACTCGGCAACATCACCATACTGTTTAAATCAGTTTCAACATAGCCTTTGCTTGCCAATTGGAAATTGGACTACGCTTAGAGGCTCTTTTGATCAAGCATGAATTAAATTATAGAATTGAAGAATGAAATTTAAAAATCATATAGGAATTGGAATCCTATAATGATATAGGTTCGTAAAGAATCATATATGTAAGGCGTAGTATTAAAGTATTTTACAGTGGAAACTCTATTATTCTTTTAACTAGCAGCAAGTCGTTAAGTTTCCTTTGCTCCAAATGTTAAAAGTTTTAAATGGGAGGGTTCTATGATGAATAGCTCAAATTCATGGGAATCAGTGTGTTTGGAAAAGGTTGAATTTTTACTGGATAAGGTAAATGTCTCGGACAACGTATTGGAGGTTCTTTGCAACCTGCTCAGGTTCAGAATTCCAACTCTGAACAAAGCAGCAACCAAATATAACAGGAAATAATCGCTTGTGTTGGAAAATTGCATGCGCATGCAATTTCTAAGACTAATTATATACAAGGTTTACATGTAAAATTTTTATCATAGACACTTGTATTTTACGTGTGTTTGCTTGATCAACAAAAGCCAATTTGATTAGTCAAATAGATTACCACCAATAGTTCTGATAAAGGAATGACTAAGAAAGTTTGATTAGCGTCAGTTTATTGGATTAACAACGATTGAAAATCATGGAATATTTCAGAGTTTCTATTTCAATTTTCATGCTAATGTTTTGGTTGATTTACCATGTGCCACTGATGATCTCAATTTTTGTAAGCATGCTATATTTGTTCTGACCTTACTGAAGAGGCCCTCCGATTAGCAAGCAGAACGAAGTCATCTACCAAAGCAAAATGGTTTGTTTCATTGACTTTTAATTTCCATGATGGTTTATGGTATTTTGGTTGATATATATTCGGGTTGATCCCTGAAAGCTTAAATTGGTAATAAGATAAAGATATAATTGCATGAGTGATGTGCTAATTATTGTAGAGTATGTAAATACATTGATTACCATGTATCGGTTAAGTATGTCATGAATATGGATCCAATTTTTATATATTTTGGCAATACGTATCTAAATGGGCACATGTTTATTGAATAAGAACTAATATTGTTTTCCATGAATTATATTCTATATGAATTGCTACGGGTGATACGCTAATGTGACAAGAAACAATTGCATAAGTGCCAGCAATTGTTTGATCAAGCAAGTATACATAATTTTCTAAAACCAATTATGTATCTATAGTTCGCATAGCATGTATATGTATTTACATTTGTTCTAACCTTGCATTGGAGAATTTCTTAAGATCCCTCAGTCGAACAAGCCCAATGAAGAGGTTCGTACTACATCGGTTATGAAATTCTAGTATGATCTTTCTTTTTGGTCTTCATGATAAATTATATAAGGAATGGTTATGTTGGATTCATGAAGTGTTATATTGTTCTTGCAAAATCCAACCATGTCGTGACATCTTTCTGATTGTAGGAGACGAAATTAGTCATATCCTATAATTTATCAATACTATTCGGATATATTGTGCCTATGATTGTGATAACATATATTAAAGTTATGTTTCAGGGATGCATATGTTAAGTTCTCCGCATATCAACTTTATACATGCTTGTCAATGAATATAATGTATTTCTTATACATGAAGGTAATTTAATATAAATTTTGGCAACATAATTAAGCAAATGGCGTGTTGGTTCAAGCATGTATGGGATGATGCAATTTTAAACATTGCCGTGAGCTTGGAATGTGGTGCATTATAGTTTTTGGTTAATCATGTGATTATACATATGTTTATAAAGAAGTAGTGAACATATGAAGGCATGAGGTATGTATTTCATTCAAAGTATGTGACTAAATTGATAAGCATGAATTTTCAAACATGTATTATTGTTTGTGGTTTTCCTATACCTAAAGAATTTAAACAGTGCTTTAATTAGTAAATTTTTATGTGCCATAAGGGGAGAAGAAAGAAACTTTTCAAGGCTAATATAGGGCATATATTGGAGATATTTTCTATGGAAGAAAATAATTTTGGTTGTTCCTTTTATTTAATTTGGTATTTACAAAGATAATGCATGATTTTAATGCTCTATGTTTAGTAGTTTTGTACTACAGAAAGAAATATATAAAAGGAAAGGAACCCGTTTGATTTGAGTGATTTAGCTTTTAAATTAAAGGAATGTATTGTTCTTTCCCATTACATAAAGTATTTCTATTAAGTAATTGACTCCATAATGATAAGTATTGACATTCTTGTGGTGGAATAAAACTTGTTCTATATGTGATTAATCTCTTTCAAGTATGCTGTCAGGTTTTGAGATTAATTTAATGTCAAAGGGAGTCATGAAGGAATTAATGCCATTTGTTGGCTAGACTTGAAGCTCGAATCAGGTTATCATAATTTTGTCACTTACAATTAATTAATTCACGTGACATCTTGTATCGTTTCAGGGCGGAGTTGATCAATGCCATTTCAACTAAGCAAGCCGCAATGGCCTAGTTGACGATGAGACTATGTTTTTGAGTTACTTCGGTCAACTTTGCATCTTAATTAGAATAAAAGGAATAATCTTCTTGCCTACAGGTGTGGATTACTTCCTTTAGTTTAATTAAGATGGCATAGTATGGGTTTGATTTCACAGAAGTTGTGAAAACCTTCATCTTGCCTACAGGTGTTGAAGTTTTTCATGAAGGGACTTTTGTGACATAAAATCTAGTACTAGAAACTAGTTAATTTTCTTGCCTACAGGTGTAAATTAATTTAGTTTCATGAAGTTTATTGGGATAAAGTTCCATGCCATTAGTGACAAATATTTTCACAATGAGCCCCATAAAAGGTTGTGGTTTGAAGGCATGGAAATCGGTTGCATCATGATGTATTTTGTATCTCTTTATGAGACTTGTTGATGCAAAGTATTGGACCCATAAAGGTTAATCAATGATTGCTAAGGTACGCATTGTTTAAGTCTTATGCTTGTAAATCTTTTCAATTTGAATTATGATGTCGGTTTAGAGGATGAAATTTGACTACTAAATTTTCCTTTGGACATCGAAATTGAAATGATGTGAAATTGAATTTGTTATGGATGCATAAATTCATGATAGATGCACATAATTGTTTCTGGCAGATTGCGTGTCTTGATTTAAATCGGGTGAATGACCCGTCTAATGGTCACCAAATGACCTGAATTTTGGATATGTTCAACATATAAATGTCTACTATGTGTCTGCAAATTTTCGTAATTTTTTGCCATGTATGTTAATTATGGTGAATTTACTAGTAACCCATGCTCGTATAGACAGTTTTTACTGGCAGATTGTGATGTTTTTTGAGACGTGACTTTAGACTACTATTTTGACCCAAAATGGCTCTGTATTTCTATTTTATGAAGATTAGTATGTCTATTTTGATCAATATAAATTTGGTAGCAATCAAGCTTATAAATTAATTATGATAAATTCTAAAGTAAGTGTAACTCATTGCTGAAATTCTGTTTTGACAACTTTATGTTGGTTGAGATGTCTATTTTATTATGTCTAAAATATAGAGAAATTTTCTTTAGGTACATCTTTGAAAGAGTGTTTGCCCAAGTGGGAGAATTAGTGAACGAAAATTGGGCTTCACCCTCATTAACTTATTTGCAAGTATAAACTCTGAAAACTTAGTGGGAGTTGTTCTAAAATTTTGAGCACTAAGTGGACTTGCATGAATCTATTAAAACATTATTCTATCTTCCATGAATTTGTGTTACTTGAATGTCTATAATATGTTTAAGTTGCACAAATGGATACTTGGTATATGCGTACATTTTCTATTACTTGCAATCATTTAGATTTCTCAATTGATCATATTGTTTTGGGGCTCATAAGGACTTAGCATAAATGTGGACTTATTAATACATATAAGATGGTTGTTGGATGCACATTTTTTGTGTAAACAGCAGTGAATGCTTTCATGCTTAGTTGTACCTTTCATTGAGGTAATATGCGTTCATTGACTAAGTAGGCTATTCCCAAAGACAGTATGATTTAAGTGACTTTTGATTTGCAAATTAAGTAACGATGTTGCAGATCAGTGGGAGTTTGAGTTTCGTGTTAGTAATGCCTTACATTTGCAGATGACCTATAAAGTATGTATAGAATCCATGTATTCATATTAATCTCCAGTTGGATTCATTAAGTCACATTTTTCATGTGCTAGTCAATCATCTGATGAAATATATATCAGATTTCAAGTTGTTATCAAATTGCATATTAAATGTCATGGCATGGTTTGTGCACTACCTCAGTTGTGAGGATTTCCATCTTGCCCGCAGGTGTTGGAAATCATTATGAAAGTAACTGGTATGGTGCATAGATCAGTGTCAAAAACATATTATTTCATCTTGCTCACAAGTGTTGAATTAATTTTGTTTTATGAAGTTTTGGGATATTTTACTTGGACATGTGCCTATTTGGTATTTTCAGTTGTGTCCGTTGGTTACAAACATTGTTTGTATTGTTATCGGTCTAATGAAACTGATGCATGATTGTTTTGGAGATGTATTCACACCTGCAAGTTATGGTGGTTTCATTAGATGAAGGATATCTGCATTGGCAGATTTAAGGCTTTGAAGAAGCATAAAGTGTAACTTGTGAGTTACAATAAGGTGGACCTGAGATGATATAAAGTAAGACATTTTGGTTAATTTAAAGTTTAATTTTAAAGTTTCATCTCTTGATCATAATTTGTGTTTCATGTGAATGAGGATCTTAGCATGTGTGATTATGAAGGTTCTGGGTTGCGTCAACTCTACAACCTTGTTAGTTCCATGTTAAGAAATGCATTTGACAGAAGCTGCATTAAGGACGAGATGTAATCACAGTTACATGGCCACTAAAGTAACATTAATCTCCAATCTCAAGTATAAACATGAAAATTACATTTTGTAGACCAAGTGGGAGAATGTTGGATTTATCCAATATAAATCAACCTTAAGTGGTCTACTACATGTAATAGGAATGTAATATTGGAGAATAATGTTAATTGTGATTTAATCTCTTAAAGATATTAATTCTATATAAGGTGTCTTATATTGGAAATAGGATTGATGGAATCCTTAATAATATATGATTATGATATTTTACTTGAGAGCCAAGAAAGGAGAGTTTTAGTTTCCCTTATGGACGGAATCTAAGACTTTTTGGCTAGTATATAAACACCGGTCCCTGCTAACCCTAGACACGACAACTAAGGCTTCCCATAGAGCATTGTCATAAAGCTAGGAGTTTACAGAAGAGTTGGTGTTTTCTGTTTGTCACGGCAAACATAAAGATTGGAGTTTTATCGATCACGTCTTGCTTGCATGGCTACTGCATCTTCGGTAACTACCATTGGAATCAGGTCAGTCACTCCTTCGGTTGTGTTTTAATTGTATAACCAATAAGGCTAACAATTTGTTATTTGCCAAGTACAAGCGCTCCAACATAATACAATTGCCGAGTGTTGTGGGGATTTCACCCGATAAGTTGTTTCCGGACACATCTAGCTCCACTACCTTTACCAAATTACTCACTTTAGCTGGTAGTGAACCAGTCAAGTAATTGTTAGACAGGAGCAAATAAATTGAAAGAGATGAAATCCCAATGACCTCTTGAGGTATGGTGCCTGTTAAATTGTTTCGAGACAGGTCAAGCGCTAGTAGACGTTGGCAGTTCGCAAGAGTTGGAGGAATGCTTCCCTCAAACCTATTGCCGCTGACGTAGAGCTCTGTCAACGAAGTCAAGTTACCTAGGGAGGATGGAATTGGTCCATAAAACTTGTTGTCATTCAAATATAGTTCCCCTAACTTCTGAAGCCTCCCAATTTCTTCAGGGATCTTACCGCTGAGAAAGTTATAACTTATTCCAAAAAGGGTCAAGTTTACAAGATTGGCGATGCCTCCATCGATGCTTCCATATATCAAGTTCTTCTCCATTGTAAGAGATGTTAGTTGGGTGGAAAGGTTGGATATGGAGCTTGGCAATTCATCTCTGAATTGGTTATCGTAAAGAGCCAACCCCTCCAGACTTGTACAATTGGCCAAGAAGCTGATAAAATTCAGGTCCCCACTTTTCCCAGTTCCAAGTCTATTGGCACCAAAGTTTAGTCCAACTAAGCTTCGCAATCTTCCAAGGCTTTCACCAGGAACTGTTCCAGTGAGATCATTTTCAGGCAAATTGAGATAACGAAGTCTAGAAGCATTTGAGAACGATGCAGGAACATTTCCTGTGAATTTGTTGCTACCAACATGAAATTGTTCGAGATGAGGAAGAATAACGCCAACATTTGGCGGTAGCTCTCCATGAAGCTGATTCTGACTGACACCGAAAATGGATATGGAAGAAATATTATAGATTGAAGAAGGAACCATACCAGATAGATTATTTGCCGCTACTGAGAATGCTTGCAAGCCTGTTAGACGCCCGAGCTCTTTAGGTATGCTTCCTTGAAAGTTGTTTCCGCCAATATAAAGACTACACAAAGAAGAAAAGTTTCCTATCCAACTTGGAATAGTTCCAGTGAGATTGTTTTTATCAAACAATAGAATATTTAAATCCAACAACGAACTGAGTTGGTCCGGAATTGGCCCAATAAGCTTATTGGAGTAAAGCTCGAGCACTCTCAGTTGTGTACAGTGAGATATATTAGTTGGAATTTTCCCGCTGAAGGAATTGACAGACAGGTTGAGGTGTTGTAGGCTTTGTAGACGACCCAATTCTTGAGGAAGTTCACCATGAAAATTGTTCCTTCTCAGATTAAATGCAGTAGGAAAAGTAAGGTTTCCAATAGAAGGTGGTATGGAGCCTACCAATTTCTGAGACTCCAGCTCCAAGGTCAAGACTCTTTTTGTGATACGGTTGCATGTAACGCCAGCCCAGCTGCAGAAATGAATGGAGTCATTCCATGAGCTCATGATATGAAAAGGATCTTCTGAGATTCTTTTCTTGAAGTCGAGCAGCGCCATGTGATCCGTTTCATTTCCAAGACTAGTGCCACTGCTTGGCAGTGTCGCAGATTCCAGAACTGCGGTGCCCATGCACAAAAGAATGAAGCCATAAAAGAGTTTAAACAGCCTAACTTGAGTACTACTTGAATGCTCCATCCTTTCTGAAAACACAGAGCAAATACGATACCAAGTTTCTTTCTAGTTTTTTCTTTTGGCTGTGAAAATAAGAAATCGATTGTGTATTACACAAATACATTAGAAAGAAAACTCACCGACACAGTGTCTAAGGCGGCTTTTTTGTTTAATTACAAGTCATGCAACAATAATTTCTACACACAGATGGCCCAGCAAGATAAAATATTTCAAGAGTAGTTACAATGTCTTGAATTTTACAAGAGCAATGAGTTAAAATATTTCAAAAGGAGTTACGATGCCTTGAATTTTACAAGAACACCTAAATAATTGTTGGGAAAAATTTAGTAGATGAATTAAAAATTCAAGCAAAATAAGAAAGTTCGTAACGTGGTACAAAAATTTGAGTGGAAGGACAAAGAATTCAAGCAATGATACAGTGTGCTTTGTGCATAAAGGAAGAAATCTTATCCCCGGAAAAAAAGAAGAAGAAAAGAGAGAGCTTCATTGGGTTGGTGGTAGAAAATTTTGAGTGAATGGACAAAAAATTCAAACAATTATGCTACTATGTGAATCAATGAATCATGTAATCATTTTGTCTATTTCGTAGATGGTGAATCAATGAATCATGTAATCACTTTTGGATCTTTTTCATAATAAACTAGACGATTGGGCAATATTAGCTCATTGAAGTATGACGATGGATGTAGGACGTGGAACGTGGAACGTGCCCCACATCAAAAAATTTGGATCAATTTGTCAATGAACCACAATTATTCAAAGACAATATTGTTGCTTGTTCATTGTGTTGAACTAAATAAAGCAAATGCAGCAGACGATGATTTCCTAAATCTCAATTCTCTGAGAGATAATTAGGTTGTTTGCTTAGAAATTAAAAGTTGGAAGCTCTAAATCATATTATTGGCTGTTGGAATATACAGATTTTTGTAATTGATTTCCATTAATTTATTTCGAGTACTAAGGTCATCCCCAACTGATCCGGTCAGAGGGTCATTAGGCTAAAAACAGCCCGAAATCATACGAAAACCGTCTCCAACCGAGTGCTAAGCCAAAGGGTTTGTGGGCCCCACCGGAGCAAAACTAGCCAATTAGACCGGCCAGCCAACCCGATGAGCCCAACCCACTTTTTTTTTATACAGCCTAACTTGAGTACTACTTGAATGTCCATCCTTTCTGAAAACAAAGAGCAAATAGGATACCAAGTTTCTTTCTTATTTTTTCTTTTGGATGTGAAAATAAGAAATCGATTGTCTATTACACAAATACATTAGAAAGAAAACATACCGGCGCCGTGTCTAAGGCGGCTTTTTGTTTAATTCTAAGGTCTGGTTTGATACTAAGGTAATTTTGAAAAAAGTGGGTATAAAAAAAAGCTGGGAGTTTTTTGTGTTTGGTAAACATTCAACTTCAACTTTTTTTTTCACAGTTTTGGGTGAAAAAAAGCCAAAAACACAAAGCTGCAAAACCCAGCTTTAAAAAACCGACTTTTTTTCACATCTGTTTTACATAAAAGTTTACCAAACATTATAATACTGCTTTTTTTTTTTCAAAAGCACTTTTACAAAAAAGTTTATCAAACACTCTGCTGCTTTATTTCACAGCTGCTTATTCTCACAGCACAGCAGAAGCAGTTTTTTTTTTCAAAGCACAGCAATACCAAACTAGCCCTAAGTCATGTAACAATACACACAGATGGCCCAGTAAGATACAATATATCAAGAGTAGTTACAATGCCTTGAATTTTACAAGAGCAATGAATTAAAATATTTCAAGAGCAGTTACGATGACTTGAATTTTACAAGAACAAAAACAACAACAACAAAACCTTATCTCACGAAGTGTGGGGTTGGCTGTATGAATTCTAGAACGCCATTGCACTGTGTCATGTCTTTCATTAGATCCAAGTATTCCAAGTCTTTTCTTAGAGTCTATTTTCAAGTCTTCCTAGGTCTTCCTCTATCCCTTCGGCCCTGAACTTCTGTCTTGTAATCGCATCTTCAAACTGGAGTGTCTGTCGGCATTTGTTTCACTAGTCCAAACCACCTTAACCGATTTTCTCAATCTTTCCTTCAATCTTGGCTACTTTTATTTTACCTCGAATATCCTCATACCTAATCCTATCCTTTCTCGTGTGCCCACACATCCAATGAAGCATTCTCGTCTCTGCTACACTCATTTTATGTACGTGTTGATGCTTCACCGCCCAACATTTTATGCCATAAAGCATTGCTGGCTTCATTGGCGTCTTATAAATTTTTTCCTTGAGCTTTAATGGCATACGACGGTCTCACAACACACCCAATGCACCCAAAGCACTCTTCCACTTCATCCATCCAACTTGTATTCTATGGTTGAGGTCTCCATCAAACTCTCCGTTCTTTTGCAAGATAGATCCTAGGTAGCGAAAGAGGTCGCTCTTTGGTACTTTCTGATCTCCAATCCTCACCCCTAACTCATTTGAACATTCGTTCGCATTGAACTTGCACTCCATATACTTTGTCTTTGACCGACTTAGGCGAAGTCCTTTAGATTCCAACACTTCTCTCCAAAGGTTAAGCTTCACATCTGCTCCTTCCTAAGTTTCATCTATCAACACTATATTCTCTACGAAAAGCATACACCAAGAATGTCATCTTGAATATGTCCACCATCGAATCTTGTCGCCTTACTTCGAATGGAATCTTAGCCCTGCTGAGCAAGATGCATTGCGATTTCCTCTTCTGTGGACCCACTGGAATATGATCCAGGACGGGAAGGGAAATTAAGACTTTTTTCTCAAGCGGGCTTTCTCTTGTAAAGCCAAAGATGCCCAAGACACAAGGTGCTCCACTTCTAGAATATTAAGTAACTAATTGGTGAAGAATGAAGGTTAGCTTAAAAGAAGTCATTCATTGGCGTCATCCATTACCAATGCAAAAAGGTAAGGACTTAAAGATGAACCTTGATGTAATTGAACGACAGCAAATGATACCTACCCGGTGACCCCTTATCTCGCCCAAAATGGAGAGGACAAAATTGCCCTTCGTAATACACCATCCCCACCATCGGATTGTAATCTTTGATGGGCCAAAATGTAATTAAATAATTTTGGTCTCACTGAGGGTCGAGCTTCCCAGCTAAAACCAACACATTTGGGTCGGGCTGTTGACCCAAAACCAACACAAAGACCAATTGCATGGTTGTAATTAATCTGAAATTCGGATTGAAACACTGTTCATTTGAATAGTGCCAATTTCAAAATAATTTTGGTCTCACTGAGGGTCGAGCGTCCCAGCTAAAACCAACACATGTGGGTCTGTTGACCCAAAACCAACACAAAGACCAATTGCATGGTTGTAATTAATCTGAAATTCGGATTGAAACATTGTTCATTTGAATAGTGCCAATTTCAAACCTTACTTTAGAATAAAGTAATGTTCTGGCATATATGAGTCTCTAAAGAGTGAGATTAAGAAAACAAACTTAGCCCATTCTCGTATATTGTTAGCTTCGTCTTCTTAAATTCATAAATGAATCTCTAACTGCCTTCATTTTGTTGACAAGAATATCCATATGCATCTGCTCTCTTGGAGATATTGCAAATCACTGAAGCTAAACATTCCTCCAATTTTCTTCCTTGGAGTAGGCCGTGGTTATGACGCATTTTAATAGGTTTTTCTTGTACCTGCTTTTCGTACCTGTCATCAATATCATCTGCATCCTCTCCTTCAATGAGCAATGAAGCGTCAACTATGTCCGTGGCATGATTAGGCATTGCCATGGCTGTGAAATTGTGAATACTTATACCATCTCCAAGCATTCCATCGGTAGGTCTTTTTCCCGTGAACATTTCTAGCAGCAGTATTCCAAAGCTATAAACATCTCCTAGTATGGATACTTCGTCTCCCATGTCATACTCTATCATTCAACCCTATTTAAGAGTTCGCTGATGCTTTTCTTTCCAAGGAAAAGAGGTATTTTTCTATTTTCTTTCTTACCAATAGAGACTTAATTCGACTTCTAATAAGTTATTAGGAGAAAAAAAATATTGAGAATCACAAAAACGTATACCCGGAGGAATGTAGGCAATGGAACCTTTTAGCCCCGCTAACATGGTTTGACTTTGAGAGGGATTGTCCGCCGCTTCCAATAGGAACCTTGCTAAACCAAAGTAACCAACATGAGCCACCATATCTTGATCAAGGAGAACATTGCTTGACTTTAGATCACAGTGAACAATTGTCGTATCGCAATGGTGGTGGAGGTAATCCAATGCAGAAGCAACATCAATTGCAATATTGAGTCTTTGGATAAGGCTCAACCTCTTGCTTTGAGATTCCTCATCATGCAACCGCACGTCTAAACTTCCATTTACCATGTACTCGAAAACTAGACTTTTGAAGTCATTGCTGATTGTCAATGCTTGAACAAGCAGTTATGATCTTGAGAAGATTACGGTGCCTTACACTTCTTAAAGCTTCACATTCACGAATGAAACTCTTAAAAGCTCCTTGTTGTTGAAGATTTAATACCTTAACTGCAACTACACTTCCATCGCTAGGGAGTACTCCTTTGTAAACAGAACCAAAACTTCCTGAACCAATTAGATTTTCTCTAGAGAACTTGTTAGTTGATTCAACAAGTTCTGAGTAAGAGACACTTAATTTCCAATCCCTATAAGAACGTGAGCTTTCAGTTATACCTCTTGGCTTCTTAAGCATTGAACGAGCAACAATAAAGCATAACATAGCAATTATGAAGGCAAGTGCACATGCTACAGGGACAACTACTTTTGGGGCAATTAGTCCTCGAGATGAATGAGGCTATATGTTGGGGCATGCATGTAAAAGTATTTTTGATCTGCCACCACAGAGCTTAGGATTTCCAAGAATTGAGAAACTAGTTGCATTTGAAAAGATTCATTAGTCAGGCATTTTACCCATAAAATTATTATGAGAAAGATTGAGATGCTTGAGAAATTTAAACTTTCCTATAAATTCACCTTTCCTATAAATTCAGGAATTTGCCCAGAAAAGTTATTGCTCGAAAGATCCATTCCTTCCAAACTTCTCAAACTTTGAAGAAACTGAATAAGTGTTCCTTCAATCTTCCAAGTGCAGGAGCTTTAACATAATACAATTGTCGAGTGTCGTGGGGATCACACTAGATAAGTTGTTTCCCGATATATCTAGCTCCGCTAGATTTACCAAATTACCCACTTTCGATGGTAGCAGACCAGACAAATGATTGTTAGATATGCGCAAATAAATTGAGAGGGACGAAAGTCCAATAAGCTCTTCAGGTATGGTCCCTGTTAGATTGTTACTAGAAAGGTCAAGCATCAGTAGGTGTTGGAGGTTTCCTATACTTGGAGGCATATTTCCCTTAAAACTAATATTGTTCACGAAGAGCTTTGTCAATAAAGTCAAGTTACCAAGGGAGGATGGAAATGACTCGGAAAATTGTTTGTCATCTAAATACAGTTCTTGTAAATTTTAAAGCCTCCCAATTTCTTCAGGGACATGACCAATGAAATAGTTAGAATTCATTTGAATAACGGTCAAGTTTACAAGATTCTCAATGCCTCTGGGGATGCTTCCACGTATCTAGTTTTTCTCCATTGTAAGACATACAAGCTGGGTAAAAAGCTAACACCTCCAGACTAGTACAATTAGCTAAGAAGCTGATAAAATTCAGATCGCCAGTGTTACTAGTTTCGAGTCTATTGGCACCCAAGTTTAGTCTGACTAAGCTTTGTAAGCTTCCAAGACTTTCGGCAGGGATTGTTCCATTGAGACAATTTTCAGGCAAATCAAGAATACTAAGTCTAGAAGCATTTGAGAACGATGCAGGAATATTTCCTGTGAATTTGTTGCCATCAACTTGAAATTGTTCAAGATTAGGAAGAATAACACCAACATTTGGCAGTATCTCCTCGTGAAGCTAGTTCTCACTGACACCGAAAATGGTTATGGAAGAAATATTATAGATTGAAGGAGGGACCATGCCAGACAGATTGTTTGCTGCAACTGAGAATGCTTGCAAGCCTGTAAGACGCCCGAGCTCATTGGGTATACTTCCTTGAAAGTTGTTTCCACCAATATAAAGACCATACAAAGAAGAAAAGTTTCCTATCCAACTTGGGATAGTTCCAATAAGATTGTTTGTATCAAACCATAGAATATTTATATCCAACAATGAACTGAGTTGCCCAATAAGCGTATTGGAGTAAAGGTCGAGCACTCTCAGTTCTTTACAGTGAGATATATTAGTTGGAATCTTCAAAAGAGAATGCTTGAATGGAATAATCGTGTATTTCATTGATATGTGAAGGAGAAATATATATAGTTGATATGCACAATCAACTCCATAAAAATTGGAGGTGACTTCCTAACTAGGCAAATACATAAAAAGCTAAGTATACAATTAGTTAGGGATTTGTTCCGATTGAGATCTTATTGATTTGTCAACACTCTCCCTCAAGTTGGTGAATATATGTCACTCATGCCCAACTTGTCTAAGAAACTTGAAAACTTATGACTTGAAACAACTTTCGTGAGAATCTCTGCCAATTGATCATCCGTTCTAATTGATGGTACTTCAATTATTTTTCCTTCCAATTTTTCCTTGATACAGAATCTATCAACTTCAACATGCTTCGTTCTATCATGTTGTACCGGATTATGTGCAATGTCATGGACGACTTTATTATAACAAAATAATTTCATAGGCTGATCATTTTTAATCCCCAAATCCTGCAACAGAAGTTTAAGCCATAAAATTTCACAAATTCCAAAGACCATTCCTCTGTATTCGGCTTTTGTACTGGAACGGGCAACCACATTCAGCTTCTTACTCCTCCATGTAACCAAGTTACCCTCAACAAATGTAAAGTAACTTGACGTTGAGCGCCTATCATTAACCGAACCTGCCCAATATGCATCAGTATAATCTTCAACTCCAAGATGGTTATTTCTTTTAAACAAAATCCCTTTTCCTGGACTTCCCTTCAAATATCACAAAATCCTCATCACTGCATTCATATGTTGTTCTCCGAGATCATGCATGTATTGACTCACTACACTCAAGGCATAAGCAAGGTCCAATCTTGTGTGTGCTAAGTACATTAAATGGCTTACTAACCTTTGGTATCTCCCTTTGTCAACTGGTACTTGATTTGGATCAACATAAAGCTTTAATCCTTCATCTAATGGTGTAGATACTGGCTGACAAGCTGACATACTGGTTTCATGTAACAAATCAATAATGTACTTTCTATGAGACAAGAAAATTCCCTAATTGCTTCTTGATACCTCAATCCCTAAAAAATATTTTACGGATCCAAGGTCTTTCATCTTAAATTTGGTAGACAAGTATCTTTGTAAGGCTGCACGTTCTTCCGAATCATTTCTTGTTACCACCATATCATCTACATACACAATAAGTGCAGTAAGCTTCCCATTTCATATTTTCAAGAACAAAGTATGATTAGAGTTACTTTGTTTGTAACCAAATACTCTCATTGATTTTGAGAATCTTCCAAACCATGCTTGAGAAGGATTGCTTTAAACTATACAATGATTTCTTCAACCTACACACCTTTCTTTTGTATTTATCTGGAGTATTACATATTGGTGGAAGATCCATATAAATCTCTTTTGTCAAATCTCCATGCAAGAAAGCATTCTTCACATCGAATTGTTGTAAGGGCCAATTAAGATTTGCAGCCAAGGACAACAAAACTCGAACTGTGTTAATCTTGGCCACAGGTGCAAATGTATCTGTATAGTCGATTCCATATTTTTGAGTGTACTCTTTTGCTACTAGTCTTGCCTTGAAGCGATCTACCATCCTATCAGCTTCGTACTTCTTAGTATAAACCCATTTGCATCCCACATGTTTCTTACCAGTTGGCAAGTCTGTGATCTCCTAGGTAGCATTTTTCTTCAAAGACTTTATCTCTTCATTCATTACTGCTTGCCAACGTGGACCGAGTAAAGCCTTCTGCACATTGTAAGGAATATATACAGTAGATAATTGATACCCAAATGACTTATTTGAGTCTAACAGGTGACTGGTAGACACATAATTACTTAACGAGTATAACACTTTAGACTCAGGGTTGGGCTTATTCACAAAATACCTAGTTTTGTACTTAGGATCAGCTTTGTAAGTGGGTTTAGGAATACCTCGGTTAGGGAGATGACATGGTGGTGGTGCATCTGAAATTGAAGGCGATTGATTATGGTTATTGGGGCTCAAAGATGGTGAGGCCAACTGTGAGGGCAGCGAGGAAGTTGGTGGTGCGAAAGTTGGCAGTGAGCTGTTCGATGACGTAAGCTCGTCTCTTTCAAGGTTTTCAACATTATTTTCATGTGAATGATCACCACTTGTCTCCAATGAATTGCCACTTAATTCCAACTCATTCACATTATTTTCATGTGAATGATCACCATTTGTCTCTAAGACATTACCACTTAATTCCAAGTCATTCATAACGTTATTTTCTTATAAATGGTCACCACTTGTTTCCAAAACATCCCCACTTGAATCCAAATCATTCACAATAACTGTATCTGGAATACTATAATCAAGAGTTTGAACTTCTGTCTGATTCTCCCCCTGAAGTGAAGACTCGAGATTGGCATAGTACATATCATTATCATGAAATGCAACATCCACAGTGATAAACAACTTTTTCATTGGAGGGTGGTAACATCAGTATCCCTTTTGATGTGAGGCATACCCCACAAACACACACCGTAAGACCCAGATGAACGAATGCCACATGACCGAACACGTGAAGTGGGAGATTGGGAATTGCAGGAGCATGGACATGGGAGGTGAAAGCCTGAAACGATGTTTGAAAATTAATCGAGAGGGAACACGATTAAAGAGATATGCAGCTGAATTGAGAGCTTATCCCCAATAGGATAATGGAAGACGAGCCTCAAGCAAGGAAGCACGAACAACTTCCAGAAGCTGACGGTTCTTACGTTCTGCAACCTTATTTTGTTGAGGAGTGTTTGGACATGTAGATTGATAAACAATACCATGATGATCAAGAAAGGCACGAAGCTCATTGTTCACATACTCACCACCATTATCACTCATGAGAACCCGTATTTGTGACTTATATTGTACTTGCACCATTTTGTGAAATCGCTGAAACAAAGAAGTAACTTGGTTTTTGACTTCATCAACCAAACCCAAGTCATACGTGTGCAATCATCAATAAAAGTAACGAACCAATGAGCCCCACCAAATGTAGCAGTTTTAGATGGTCCTTAAAATCAGAATGGATTATCATAAAAAGAACATAACTTTTAGTCATATTGGGCGGAAACGAAGTACAATGACTTTTAGCCAGTTCACAAATACCACATTTAAAGCTAGAAACATCATGCTTAACAAATAAGCTAGGAAACAACCTCCATAAATAATCGAAAGAAGCATGTCCAAGTAGACGATGCCACAACCAAACCTCTGAAGCTTTATTCTTCTATCCCTGAGATCCTTCCACTGCAAGAGCTTGAGTCAACATTCCGATATTATTTGATGTGAGCTCCAAGTAGTAGAGCTTGCCCTTCCTAATACCATAACCTATTGTCTTACGAGTCTGAATATCCTTAAAAACATAAAAAAATAGGCCAAAAAATTACAAAGCAATGTAGGGTGACAATGATTTGAGCAACTGATAATAAATTATAGTCAACAACATTCCCATTGGCAACACTCACGACAGTTTTGGTGGATGGTTTTAGGGTTTGTATCTGTCCAGAATCACAAGTCATATGTTAAGTAGCACCAGAATCAATTATCCACGTATTATTCGTAAAAGATGCAGAAACCTTTAAAGCCTTACCATTGTTATATGTATGTTCAGAAGCTACCTTAGTTTTTGCAATCAGTGCACGAGTTTGGACTACCATTGCTTTAGATGAATTTGACGCAACGTGTATGGGTGATTGATAAGGTCAAAACTTCCAAACTAAGGTCCTATAAAACAAACAGAGACATAAAAAAACCAACAAATTTCCTTTTTTCTTTTTTCTATTTTCTGTTTTCTTCCTTTTTTCTATTTTTTTTCTTTCTTTACTTTTTCACCTGTCTTTCCTTATTTTCTTTTCTTCAAACCCTTTTTTTTTTTCGCAATAGCACATCAACCTTTTATTTTTTTGCCCTTTCCTTTTTCGCAACAGTAAGCTTTTTTTTGCTGTTCTTCAAACAGCAACGAGTGGGTCATTGTTGGAGTGAAATTTCCTACAGGAAGAAATACCTCCACAGATTTGTTGACCTTAATCCTCACGTTCGCCGAATACCTCATAAGAGGCATCCCCGAATAGTCTTTCTTTGTAGCTTGTCTGGGCAGGGTACCTGCAAGAGATACTCTGACGCTCAAGTCAGTAGATTGATTTTCTATTCTCTGGTTTATCTCGAGTTCTGATTGCGTTGTTGGTGGAAGGATCTCTTTGAGGATGAATTATGCAACTCAGGATCTTAATTCTGTTGTTGATAGAATGGTCTCTCTGGGAAGAAGTTACGCAACTCGGGCTCCTGACTCTATCACTTATTCTCCCGACCCTTATGCAAAAGATGAAGTGGGTATTTCTAGCGCACCTTCCCCTCGCCACCCACGTTGCCCCCAGTGCTTTGACTACTCCCTGTTATTGGATGAGCGTGAAACTCTGAAGGGATACTTGCAACGCGCTGAACACCAAGTGGATAGTCTTAGAGAGGAATTGATGGATGTTGATCATGCCGTGTCCACTGCTCACTCAGATGGCATACATGATGGTTTTAAACAAGGCATTCACTATTTTCGCTCCAAGGCTAAGGCGACCTTTCCTTCCATAAACTAGGATAATCTCCCCATCCCGTTAGACTAGATGTCATCTTGCTTGTAATAAGTTGGGCCCTTAGGTCCAACCACTATTAGGATATCTAGTAGTGATGTTGTCCTTGTTTTCACCTTCTACTAGTAGGTTTATTTCTTCTTTCATTCTTATCTTTTATCGCACTATGTATCCAACGTCCAAGAGGTTTTCCTCTTTGAAATAAAAGATATTCCCTTTTACGGGAGGGAAAAACATTGTCCCACTTTTTGAGATTTTACTTTTGAACACGTAATGCTTCATTTTCCTCTGCAAACACACGACGTGTTTGGGGAGGAAAATTGTTCTTTGCAAAGATTTATTTAATTCGCCCCTTCATTATTGTAAACCGTTCAACCTTGAATTCTTCTCTTAATCAGGTATTTACCTTCTTCAATCCTTTTCCCTTGTGATCCTCTTTAGCCTTGATTTTTCGTCACCTCAACACGGTTGCTGGACGATGCGCTACTAGATACACACAAGAAGTTTTGAATCCCTCCGGAGATGCAGGGACTCGATCAGTGCATGTGAGGTCTCAATCCCAAAATAGTGAACCCAGTTTCACCATAGAACAATTTAAAAAGCTAACAAAGGAATTGTGTGAAACAAAAAAGACAGCATAAGAGGCTTTGAAGAAGGCTGAGGCGAGAAATGCAGTGGAAGATGTGATCGGCACCAAGAGACAATGTGCAGAAGAAGAATAAGGAGGGCAGCTTTAGTAGCGCGCCATCCAGTAACCGTGTTAAGGTGACGAAAAATCAAGGCGAAGAGGATCACAAGGGAAAAAGATCGAAGAAGGTAAATGATGTTGATTTGCGAGAACAAATTGAGAAGATTGTGAAAGGATACAAGCCACAGACCCTGACGAAACTTGCGTTAGAAGTAGCCAGGGGGATCCGTAAATTGCTGTTCACAGAGGACATCCTGAAAGCTAAAAAACCTGCTAAGTTCACCCAACTAAAGTTCAGGCTGTTTGAAGGCACAACTGATCCCGTCGAGCACATTTACCATTTCCAACAACAGATGGCGTTTGAAGGAGATGACGAGGCCCTCCTATGCAAGTTGTTCCTCTTAAGTATTTTGGGATCATCTTTAACTTGGTTTAGACAACTGAAATCAAGGTTTATTGGAAGTTTCACGGAGCTCTGTGAAGTATTCATATCTCAGTATGTTTGCAATCGGAGGCCAAGAAAAGATGATAAGATCTTGTTTAACACCAAACAAAATGTTGGCGAAAGCCTCAAAAGCTATATGACTAGGTTCACAAAAAAAATGTCCACCCTAGAAGAATGTGATTCTCACACTGTGTCTTTGGCATTCTGAGAAGGGGTGTTGCCTGGAACGAAGATGCATAGGTCATTAATCGAAACTCCACCATTGGACATGAGGGAGGTGATGGCCCGAGCTGATTGAATCATCAGACTAGAGGAAGATGAACCTATTCAGTCTAAGCAGGCCACATCCACTATTACTGCATCTCCAGTGGGCACTATCGTGCCTATCTTGAAACCTACGACTCAACTGAAGCAAGAATGAAGATTCTCACGTGATCCAAAGGATTGGTTTAATGAAAGATCCAGACCTGATCGCCCACACACCAAGTTGATAGTGAGCTTGGGCAAAATTTTCAATAAGAACAAGGGAAAGGGAATCTTTTGGGCACCAGCACCGATTTGAGTGCCGCTAGAGAAGCGAGACAGGAACAAGATATGTGCTCATCACAAGGACTTTGGTCATACCACCAATGATTGTCGAAGCCTGAGGAACTAAGTGGAAGTTATGTTGAAGAAGGGGATGTTGTCACAGTATCGCATAAAATCAAGAAACGAACGTAAGAATGACTGATGACTTAAAGCAATAAGAGGAAACATTGGGGTGGATGAGAGGCTATTGGATATCAATGTTATACATAGTGGACCCTCAACCCTCTGAGGGACAAGAAGCACGCTCTCGGTCTTAAAGACGAGAAGCCGAGAAATCTAGACGAGTGCACAACATAACATAATCCCTTGAAGTGTCCAAAGCATTAAAGAATCTTGGAGTCATCTCCTTGAGCCAAAAACACCTTGAAGGGATTCAATTCCCTCACAATGATGCACTAGTCATGACCCTACATGTTGCCAATTCAAGAGTGAAAATGATACTGATTGATGGGGGGAACAACATAAACGTTCTATTCCGGAGCACATTTAGAATGATGAAATTAGATGAGAAAGAGATAAGGTCAAATCCAACTCCCATTTATGTGTTTGAAGGAACTAAAGCCTGACCCATTGGAAATGTGACTCTTCCCGTCACCGCAGTAGGTAAGGCTCTTTTCATCACTTTTGTCATTATCGACACACCAAGTGTGTATAACATTATTATGGGAAGAGGCTGGATCTATCAAATGGATGGGAAATCGTCAACCAGATATTAAGTGATGACAACAGATGGTCAAATAGGATCAGCTAGAGGCTAGAAAGTGTTACAGCATGGCAACAAACATTAAGACAGCCATGAAAGTACAACAGAGCTCGAACTTGCATGAGAATAAACCATTATAGCAATTAGCAGATGACCTACCACAACAGGATCAGAAAAGTGACGATCAAGAACGCCCGACTATAGAACCACTAAGGGAAGAGGTTTTGGATCCAACCGATCCCGAGAAACGAATATGGGTGGGCTCCCTTCTATCTGATGCGGAAGTTGAAGAGTTGCTGAAATTTCTGAGGAGCAACATGGAAGTTTCTGCATGGTTCTATAGGGACATGCTGGGGATTGACCCAGAGGTGGCATGTCACCAGTTGAACGTTGATCCGAGTTGTCCTCCACACCGATAAAAGC